ATATATATATATATATATACATATATATATATATACATACATACATAATTACTTATAAAGCTTTTATTTGTTCAAAACTAAAACTACTATAGCTGCAGTTGATAAAAAGCAAAGAGCTGCATATTTATGTCAGAACACCAAAGATATGTCGGTTGTTTTATTCAGTCAAACTTTAACAAATTGACCAGATTAAATAATAGAAGTGGCACATCTGCATTTGTACTGCATAACTTTTTGGGTTACTCACAAGGCCTGCTGGCAAAATCAAATATGATCTGTTAGTCCCAAAAATAAAGGCAGGTGCTGTGAGCGAAGTGTGAGAATGACACCAACAAGGGAACACCTAGAGCTTTCCACTTTTGGCTGCAATTTATATACTCATGTGAGCTGCAGTGAGATATTGTCCCTTCCATCTTTAGAAATTACTTTCACATCCTCAATCTGAAGGCAACGTAATGAGTGACTCGCTGTCAGTTTGGTGCTTCGTCTTTGCTGGTAGAATATACTGTTGGTCTAACTTTAAAAATGCCAGAAGCCAATGATATGATAACATACTGTAGGACACTGTTTAGTAGATAAACATCTACATTTAGATGTCAAGCCTGAGTGTGTGTGCTGAGACCTGTCTGTGTGTATGCTGAATTTGTGTGTATGTGGCTGTTATATTGTGTGTGTGTGTGTGTGTGTGTGTGTGTGTGTGTTCACATGACCTCTAATGATGATGAAATATGTAGTTCATGTTGCGGGTTATTTCTGTCAACTGATAGTTGTTGTAGATGTGGTTGAATATTTTGTGTTTGTGTTATCCCTGTTGTGTGCGTGTGTGTGTACGTGTGTGTGTTTAATTGGACCTCCCTGAGCCAGTCTCCAGGTGATGGAACTCATCTGTTCTCTCCTGATTAAGGACAACAGATGGACTGATATCACAACACACACACACACACACACACATACACGTTCAGTCATGAGTCATCTTTACACACATACATATTGTACAAGTCATATGGCCTGTAATCAATACTAAATACACACAGAGTGGAAATAAATCCGTCCCCTAGTTATCCATGCATCAAGCTCAAATGACCCAGATGCCTCAGTCAGTTCAGTCTTCATCACCACACCACTTCCCATCTTCATCGTCAACTATGCAAGAAAACGCATCCTTCTGCAACATTTCTAACACATCTCCACTTTCCTTCCCCATCTGTTTGACTCACAGAGATACGGTGAGACCGAGTGAGATTAAAAAGAGAAGATTTGAGGAACTAATAAGCCTTTCCTATTATAAAATGACTCTCTAAATATTCAAAATACTTAACATCTAATTCATGAACATTTTTACTCCGGCCTGTTGACTCACAGGCAGATTTAAACACACACTGATACTCTTTGAATAAAATGTCTTTGAAGCACATAACCTTTAGTGTAATATTACCTTTTTCTATCCTTGATTTTATATTGACACACTGCATGCACTTCTATGATAGTACACATCACATTGTTTTTATTTGCGTCGAGATTTCAAATGTAATTAATAACTTCATTTCCCCTTATTGTCTAATTTCCACAGATCCTGAGTCATTACCAAAGTTAAAGTGAGATCCACTAAAGAAATTCAGTAAGACTAAGTTTCTGCAACAACAGACCCGATTAGCTCCAATTAACTCTGATGTTTAGTTGATACGACAAACCCTCCCATTACTGTGAATACTTGATCTTTAAGTGGTTTATCTCTGTGGATCTGAGTCATTCCCCTAACCTTTAACAGATGTTCAGCAACTTTCTCAAAGCCCACGAACCTGAGTCAGTGTGTCCTTCAGTCTACCTGCCTCATTAAAACACAGCACTACTTTCTAAGCAAAGCTCATGTGTAGGCTACTTTCACACCCTGGGACTAATTATTTATACACTGTCATTCTGGGTCTCAAACTGATACAGTGATAAAGATTATGACCCACTTACAACCGGCGAGTATCATTTTTAAGGTTCCAGGTTGCAGTTCACATGGATATCTAACTTAATAACAAGGTTTTTAGATGGTCCACGACTTTCAGACTTATTTTTCCTCTTTTTCAAATTCATTTTCAAGTGATATTATTAAACTTGAGAGACGGAGGGAGGCGGAACAAAAAGAGAGTGAGGCTGAATACATAGCAGATGATTCATTAATCTCTCAAATTATCTTTGTTGTCATTACATAAAATCGACACAGAGCAGCAAAAATCCTTGATCTTGTAAAACTTGCCGGTGAACCCAATGTGACCCTGGAGCAGATATTACTCTACGGCCATATTAATCCGGCAGTCACTGTAAAACACTCCATTTGGTCTACACACCCATTTGCCTTCGGGGCCACATTAATGATAATTAGAGGCTCTCAGCATGATAGTTAATATCCTCCATATAATCCATGTCATCGCGGAAAAAAGCAAAGACAGAATATGCTTAGCAGGTGAAAAAATAAGAGGAAAACAAAAAAGAAGAATTTGGACTACCAAAAATAATCCACAAGACACAATATTTAAAATGAGTGTGACATGATATCTGAGGCAAATGGATGTGTGTTTTAAAACAAAACATAACTATTTCCATTCTTATCTCTCCAAAACATGGTGACTCGCCTCACACACACAGCAACGCACACGCACACGCACACTCACACTCACACACCTCAAAAAATGAAGACAGAGAGAGAGAGAGGAAGGAGGGAGAAGTAGAATGAAAGACAGAGAAAGAAAGAGAAAGAGGGGGGGTGATAACAGCTTCAATAAATCATCCGGGCCAGTCGCCTCTCCCCGGGGATGTGGGATGGATTAAATTAAGCACTCCCTCTACCCGTGTGTCTATCCATCCCTCCACCCTCCACTCTCGCTCTCTCACTCTCTCTCTCTCTCTCTCTCTCCCTCTCTCTCTCTCTCTCTCTCTCTCTCTCTGCGCCGTATAAATGCCAACAGCTGATCGCGAGACGGCACACTCACTGAAATACCTCGCGGACGCTGCAGAGAGAGAGAGAGAGAGAGAGAGAGAGAGAGAGAGAGAGAGAGAGAGAGACCGAGGGGAAGAGAGAGAGGGATACAGAAAGAGGGGACGCTGTTGATTCATTCACCCGCAGGGAGTGTTATTGTGATTTTTTTTTACCAACCTAAGTAGTCACCATTAACGGGAATTAAGGACTATTTCTGCGCCAAAGAGGGAAGGGCACGGTGTCCGACATTTTTCTTTTTGAAAAGCTTCCAAAATTGTCGCGCCCCCTCCCACCCTATTTTCTTCGCATCCCTCCCTCCTCCTCCATCTCCCCCTCCTCTTCTTTAAAGGAGCCCGAGAGCCACTGCACGCGCTGCAGGGTGCCTCCCACCGCTTGTTATATTGTTTTTTTTTTTATTTTGTATTTTTTGGACAGCTCACGAGCCTCTGCCCCCTGGTCTGCCACCTGCTCGCGAGTACAGAGCGCGCGAGGAACCCCCCGTGGGGGAGCTGTCCGGTGCTGAAGTTGAATTCTTCCTCACCCTCTCTGCACGAGGACTAAAGCAGGGAGACAGAAAACAGAAAAGAAATAATAACTAAGCCGTGGTTGAGCGTGAAACTATTTTACCGGATCAACTCGCAGCCCGACAATCTTCCTCCGATCCGCCCGTCTTGCTGGTGTGTTACGGGCGAATCAGCACGCTGGCCAGGCCGTCGGAAAACGGCTGTGTTTGTGAGTGTGTGTTGTTGTGTTTGTGAGAGTGTCGCACCACCATGCCAAGGTCTTTCCTGGTGAAAAAGGTGAAACTAGATGATTTTGCCGGAGCGGATTTGGGGAACGTCTACCGACACAGGACAGACCTCAGCCTGCGGCTGCATGACAAAGGTAGGTCATGCTGCCTACACAGCGAGCACTAACAGTAACAGGTGTCTCAAAAACAAGTGCGTCTGACAGAGGAGGAGGAGGAGGAGGAGGAGGAGGAGGAGGACAGGTAGGGAGGGAGCCTAACAATGCTGTTTCCAGAAATAAGGCTTTAGCTGTGTCACTAAGAGGTGAAATTAGCGGTCGTGTTCTCTGTGATTGATCCCAGTCGTCGATACGGAGCTGCAACTCTTAGTCAAATATTTAAAATGTGCGTAGCCTATTTCAGCTGTGCATGAAGTGTTGCGCCTGTTCTTATACTATCCTGTAACAGTTAGTGTAGCCTTTCCATTAGAAACGCATTACAGTGTTGTTGCTACAGGGTGATGTGTGGGTACTTCAGGCAGATAAGTAGCCTATAATCATTGATTACAGAACAACGGCCGACAGCTCAGAGTTATCACATTGTTATTACCTCTGTGATGGATAATAAAAGCGTCAAAGCCCCGCAACTACCAAGTCCACTACCACATAAGTAATTCTACATGACTTCAGAGAATTATGACATGAGATGGGCACGGAAACACTGAAGGGCTGCCAATATCAACAAGCACTACACCCCTGCTCTATGATAGCACCCACGGTATTTACTGAGTATTTAAGCCAAAGCAGGCTTGATTTAAATGTTCGGGTGGGGGGGGGTTGTAGGAGTTGAGTTGCCACTGGAGCAGAAAGGTCACTTGAGAATCAACTAAATCCCGCATGTCCCATGTATTATTGATTTTGGCTCAGAGTCAACTGGGACGTTTCCCCGTACGCAGGCTAAGTAAGGTTAAAAGAGATAAAGACGGTCAGTGTTTATTAATATCTGGTGCATTTTCAAAAGGCAAAGCTCAGTCGCAGTCAAAGTGTTGTCCTTCTCGGCACATGCTGCACGCTCAGTGTGACGACACATGAAACCTACTTTATTGTTTCCTGTGGGTTTGGTGTAGATGTTTTCTACAGAAAATAAACTGACAAAACATAGTGACACTTTATATTTGATAACAGTTCATATCATTTAAAAACATTATAATATTATTCACCAACCGCCTCCAGGTGCAGCACAAATAAGCAGCAGTCTAGTTCTCCTTTATGTAACACTGCTGTGGCCACAAACATTACCACCAGTGGCCCAGTCCAGTGTTTTCTTGATATCTTTTTGCATACAAAATGATCCTCATCACAGGCCCTCGCTCTGCATGGGGTTTTGGGTGTGCTCCTTGTTCAGGTATGGCTGTTCTATTTTTGCAGTGTTGGCAGATTTTTTGCAAGATGACATCCTGCAGGATGTCATGTTATTTTAATAAATGCTTTGAATGCCTACAATAGTTCAAGTCTACATTGTCGCACCAAAAGCAGAATTGACGTTGCTGACGTCTTTCCTCACTTCACTGGTGAACTGTTGAACATGGGTAACAGATTATGAATGGACGTCACATTTCTATTCAAGGGCACTCGTTATTTTGGACTAACTTGAAAAAAAATGAAAAACAAAGCACTGCTCTCAAATCATTTTCTGTTCACTAAGACTCAGAGATTCAGTGTTTCAATCTGAGCAAATTTGTCGTCCAAGACACCAGGCCTTGTTTGGTATTTCTACGCTTAGTTACTGCGTTGGTTCCTCTCTTATGACGACATTTTAAAGTCACTCTTTAGGCGTAACGAAGCAGGGCCCCGTTGCAGTTATGCGATTCATTGTTCAGTGCTGCCTCTTTGCTGCTGAAGCTGTGAACTTCCTCACACATTGTAACTGTGTCACATTTTACACACATAAAAACAAACAAAACAGAGATGCCTTTGCCATGCAAATGCAACCACTGTATTGCTTCCACCCCAATGTCATTGACACGTTGTTGCACATCAACATGTGTATTCCGTGTGCATTCTCGCCTGCATTTCACTGCTCGTATAGAGTAAAAAAAAAAAAAGCTGTCAGTGGTGTATTTATAACGTCGAGGTTAACGAGCCCTGCTTGGCTTGACACGCGATCTGCCACCTCAGCAGCAGCGTGCAACGCTGCCTGTCCCAGCCACCTTTTGTCTCCATCCCCAACATCTGATGGCAACAGCTTAATGCAGCATCTACATACAGTACTGCACAGAGCACTACCCACAACACCACATTAGGAGCAACTCTCTGCTTGAACGAACAGGCTTTCGGAATAATTTATATCCCACCCGTGTTCTGTGCGTTGTGTGTGATGGGACTGTGCATTCAGATGGGACGCCGTGGGAGATATGTGGTAGCTCTTATCGTAAGCAGACAGATATGTGGTGTCACATAGCTGGTGTCACATAGTTGCTTATGCATCTTACCCAAAAATCCTCTGAGAGACTGGATTCACAATAACAACATTCATTTCTTAAAGGAGAAAAAAGTAACTATTTTTTTGCAACAATACATCTTTTGAAGATGCATATGATGAACCATAAACGTCTGTCCTTTCTTATGTCCAACTACATATTTATACTACATATTTAACTAACACATGACCTCAACATTGATGTCTAGAATAACTCATTTTTCCTGACTTTTGGTCGATGTGAATTCTTGACATGTTGCATGATGGGTATAGGCATTGGGGATGTGTTAGGTGTGTATATGAGATTTGTCTAATAAAATCATTATGTGTGTAATGACCCGCCTGCCAGGGAGGGAATCAAATCTAAAGCTATTTTATAATGCAAGTAAATATGCTGGTTAGTATGCATTTATGTACTGTACATTTATTTAGAAATATGTACACATTCTTCACATATTCATGATGCCTGTGAAAAAAATATGTCAAATGCGAAAATAACTAGCATTTTTACTGGTTCGTCAAGAGGGAGTAGTCCTCTAACCAGCTCATACATGCCTTTACTGTTTTAGAATGAGTTTCAGCGACTGTACTTTGCCCAAAAGGCTTGACATGCAACTGTTAAACCCCTTGATCTATAAAAAAAAAAGCCACTGTACTGCTGCCTGCACTGACTGAGCCTGTTCAGCAGCCTTGCTGTCACTGTGCCATCGACCTGCAGCGCACTGGATCCGTCCGTGGTGCTGATGCTCATTTTCACAGCCTAAATCAGCTTTCTCAAGTTCAGGGTCAGCCTGTGTGCATTTATCTTCCTCAGAGGAAGTCTTTAAACTGCAACCTTTGAGAACTGAGAGGAAGTATATTGCTGGATTATCTCAGGACTCCTACTGCAGGCTTTTTTTTTTTTGCACCACTACTGGCCACAGGTGTGAGATGTTCTGTGTTACAATACGCCAATTCAGACTTTCACATATGTCTAAAGTTGTTACGATTAGTTACATCTGCTACTGCTGCTTCACTCGTTGTGAGTTGAGAATCTTCCCATACTTCGTATGCAGGGTTAAATGCATCGAATTGGACTTGGCCATAGTTGCTGCAGTATTACTCCAGGGCAGGTACATGCTGAAGGACTGTGCCTACCACAGTATTCTGTGTACTTTTACACCTGACAGGCGGCAGCTTATTTAAGTTTTCATCGGTACATTTAGAGTGAGAGGAGGACCAAAACACGAGATGATCGGGTTTAGCTGTCCTGGAAGTACAGTACATGTAAAGTTACTGAACTGGGATTAGATCTCACTGGAACCTTCTGTTTCTCCTGTTGCATTGCCATCTTTACTTTTCTGCTCTTTCAGTTTAAAGAAAAAAATGCATCCTGTTTTGCAACACATACAAAATTGTACTGCCGCTACAATTTTTTGTACGCTGTCATGTCAGCGTTTGTGCTCATCCATAGCACTTAGTGAACGGCTTAATGGTGTCTCTACAACATACAGTAACATGTTAGAAACAAGTGACTGGTTGAATGAGCAACCTGTTTGGATTATACATGTAAACCCATCATCTCTATGTTGTGATTCATAATAAATGCACTCAAATGGGATGCAGAAGAAGAACCCATACCGCTGCGTGAGGCGAGCTGTATGTCACTAATGGTGTAGCTGTTCACATCACTGAGTAAGCACTTATTCAATTCCACCAATTCAGACTGTGTAATAGTGTCAGTATACCAAATCTCTACATTACTGTCTCTGTGAAGAAGGATAAGCTTGAGAAAAGAAAATCTACCACCTATCAAGATATTTCACGGCTACATCCGGGACAGATACTTTAATCTGGATCTGATTGACTTTGATTCGCATGTCTCTGTGTAAAACCACTTTTATATTAACTTCCATGACCTAACACTCTTTTCTTTTTTCCCTTGTCAGCTGGATACATCAGTGACTACATCAGCCCTGTTGTGTACGATGGCGAGAGCGACGGTGGGATCAAAGTGCCCTCCCCAGACCCCCTTTACGATGGTATCCACAGTGACTACGGGGCCCCTGACTCGGAGTCCCCCGACAGTCCTGGCTCAGAAATCACCGACGGCTACATCAACGGAGATGCTGCGGTGAGTGAGGGATACTCAGTCGATGCCTTCTTCATCACCGATGGCCGCTCGAGGAGGAAAGCTATCAGCAGTCCCAGGGCCATCCAGAGGCACACCTGCAACGAGTGCGGCAAAACCTACGCCACGTCTTCCAACCTGAGCCGGCACAAGCAGACACACCGCTCTCTGGACAGCAAGCTGGCAAAGAAATGTCCGACCTGCGGTAAGGTGTACGTGTCCATGCCCGCCATGGCCATGCACCTGCTCACTCACAACCTCAAGCACAAGTGTGACGTGTGTGCGAAAGCGTTCAGTCGACCCTGGCTTTTACAGGGCCACATGCGCTCTCACACCGGCGAGAAGCCGTTCGGCTGCGCCCACTGCGGGAAGGCCTTCGCCGACCGCTCCAACCTGCGCGCTCACATGCAGACCCACTCGGCCTTCAAGCACTTCAAGTGTAAACGCTGCGACAAGACCTTCGCACTCAAGAGTTACCTGAACAAGCACTACGAGTCTGCCTGTTTCAAAGGCCCATTCTCTCCTCTCGGCCCCCTAGATGCATGACCCCCTGCATAGATAAAACAACAGACAGAACTGCAGACATACATTACCATTCTCCTTACAGACTGAACTGCTGTCACAAACAATCTATTTTTGGTCAGAATGTGACCTTGCTCTCCCTCCTCCCCCTCTCTTCCTCCACCCCCACCTTGCTTTCCTTCGGAGCCTGTTCATGATGATGACAATAGCACAATTTTTCTCCTTGAGATTTGCCCACTTAAGGATTTAACTGATGTACGCATGCACTTCCTCAAAAAACTCACCACCTCCTCCTTCTCCGTCTGTTCTGGATGGAGAGAATAATACTCACACGGCTTCCTTCTGGCATTTAGAGACAGTACGGCGTCATATATTTTGGGACACTCATGATGATGATGAGGATGACGACACAGACAATAGTAAGCCTATATAGCTACTGGGTTCCTCCCTGCACTGAAAGAGTTGTTTTCTTTTCATTTTGTTTTGTAAGGGAATCATAGTAATAATTATAGTAATAATGATGATAATAATAATGTTCTGCTGCACCAAGTGACCATATTCTCTCCACTACTGAGGTACAAATACTATTTATTTATTTATTTACTTATTTTAGCATTTGTTTTTCTTTTTTTATCTGTTGTATATTTATACTTGATTTTATAATTATGAAATGATAGCATTAACTTATTTGTTGCACTTTCATTTCTGTATATGTATGTAGGATACTTGCCAACCTCTTTCTATCAGTACAGGCCAAAGCATATGTCACTTTTTTTTTCTACTATTTTTCCTATTAAGTTGTTTACCTTTTTTTTTTCTTATTAACGTTATTGCATGCAAAAAAAAAGAAAAAGAAATCTATGCCAACATCATACAATCTTATGATTTTTGCCAAATTCCTATAGATAGAACCTGAGGGCAATATTTTTCTCTTGGAGCCTCCGTAGGACTCTTTAAAAGCAATAATCACCTAATGCATGGTATTTTATGATGAAGTTATGAAGTATTACCATACTGTATAGCAGTTAAAATCAGGTATGTTTTACTTCACCTATAGTCATGAACAGAATAATACTAATATTACAGACATCAGGGAACATGCCAATGTAGTGTTAGAGAAACAAAAAGAAAAGTCCTGTCTTTCCTCTCTTGTTATGCACTGCCTGCCTCTTAGTGAGTAGAACTAATGTAGGATGTAGGCTAGAGAGGCTGGGATCAGCTGCCTGCTGGGTGTGAGGCCTATTGTACGACTATAACCCCGACAGACCCGTGCTTGGCTAATTCTAGCATGAAATAAGCCTGCTAACGATACCCAGGGGAGGCCTAATTTAGGCATCTCAACATTTTACTCAGATTGGATCATTGGCCATTCTTGAGAGTTTAATGGTTTGAAAAGGGTCTGGGATGTTAAAATGGGACCTGTTGACAACACATCTTCTTTGTCTTGCAGCCAAATAACAAAAGGCCTTCAACAAACCTTTTGATAAGAGGCATTTATTTGTGCTGATACAAAGAAATGATGAAATAAGGTTAACACAGCAATCAGATTGGAGAACTTTTCAATGAGATGTGCACCATCCCAAAATGAAAGTAAGCATACGGTACCTAGCCACTCACAGTATGATTTCAATAGAAAACCAAGTCAAAGTTTGATCCATTGTTGATGTCGGACCAATGTCAATTTTAAATGCAATGCATTATTCAACTACCCTTCCAGTGCACTTCCAAACCATAAGGCGTGCATTCTTAAACCACAGGAAAAGCATGCACTTTAGCTGGACGGTCCGACTGCAGCTTAACTGTTATAGTCCAATAGATGCATTAGGCCAAGTCCTGATTATTCTGCAGTAGGCCCCATTTAGCCCTACTGGGCTGACCATGGGCTGACTCTACGAGTGATATACCGACAGGCTAACTCTCATTAACCCAAAACCTACAGATGGTTTCACTTATAGGTGGCCAATACCAGTGTTGCTGAACCCAGTTCTCTACAGCTCAGAAACCTTTTTTACAGACTCGTGGAGCTTCCTGAGAGACAGAATGACACAGATCTGCACAAAACATGAAGTGTTTGTTTATATGCCATATGTATTCATTGTAACTTTGCATAGAAACACATGGGCACAAGTGCATCGGTGCATGCACACACACAAGCAAGCACACGGTGCCTGCTGTTGCGCTGTTGTGAGAGATACACAGTCAAGCTTCCAACAATTGAAAAGAAATTGGTTTAATATTCAGATGTGAATCCCTGACAAAGGAAGTTTCAATAATTGCAATGCATCCTCGGGTATGAGATTACCGATATCCGACACCATTTAGGGTTTTAGGGACAAAAGGAAAGTCTGCACTGATACATGGAGCCATTATCTAATTTCATTTACGTACATCTCAGATATAAAGTTAAAGGACCGGTATGAAATCAAAGGCTGTCAGATCAGCTCTGAATTCAAAAAGTCAACATTTTGTTGTGAAAGTCTTGTGTTGTAGGAGTCGATACAATCTTTAAGTCTTTCACAAAGAAGCTTTTTTTTAATGGAGCTCACAAGTCAGTAAGAAAGAGTCGGCTTTTGTTGTGACTGGAGCTCCATCAGTGTGTGAGTCAGCACATTACAGGTCCTATCTCTCTCTCTGATGTGTGAACTAGATTTGAGCTGCAATAACTTGAATTGTATCAGACGATTAGTCATACAGCTTCAACTTTATGGAGCCAAAATCTTTGTCTTTTTAGCAGTGATTTGAAACTCTTGGCCAAAATACTCACAACAACTACACATATGAGCAGGTAAAAAACATTACATGTGGGGCTTTAACACAAGTTCTACACAAATACAATCCCAGATCAAAAGCACAAGTTTGGCAAAGAAAACAAAAGCATTACGATATTTCTCAATACATTTCAGAGACATCGACCCTTGGCAGAGATATAAATAAGAATATGCTAATATTTTAACCACCAACTCTAAAATCTTATTATTATCATTTCTATCTGAATGAGACAAAAACAGTAATAACACAATATCTACTACCAACAAACCACCGAGAGTCTCTCTGACAGCGATTCCTCTGTTTATGCATCACAACTTGTATCATTGTGTTTCAAAGCGCTCTGCAACTTTGCACTGCAGTCTAAACATCTGAAGGGTATGAGGCTGAAGTTGTTGTTGGGTGGCTGTCTGGTGGTTTTGAGACAGAAAAGCTGTGTGTGTGCGTCTGTCTGACTGTGTGTCTGTCTCTGGGTGAGCTCCAGGTCTGTTCTCTCTAAGCACTTCCATTCAAGTCATCTCCACCTTAAAGAAAGTAGCACAATGAAACTAACTAGAATTCAGGTAGAGAAGAATTAAAAAACCTTGTACTAGCTTGACCTCTCTTCTTTTTTTGTATTTCCAAGTTAAAGAATGATAATAACCTAAATAATAATTTATTGCAGGTGGGTTTGTAAAGAATCCTTTGGATTGAGACATTTTTACTGCTGTATAGCGATATCTAACACACCTTATTCTCAAGAGGTTTGGCTCTCTGTTGCAGAGACAGGATCTCCTGGGTGTTTTTGAGCCAGAATTCAGACAATGTAAGCACAATGAACACAAAGCATTTTGTGACACTTCATAATAAAGAATAATCTCAACCAACCAGGGCAGTTGTCATAGTTTTGTGTCTTTTCTTGTTTTAAGAAAGTCCTTTGTTTTGTCACAGTGAACACACACACCGTAGAAAATAGGAGCAATGTTGGACTGTAGTTGCTATGCTGCACTTAACATTGTTTTTCATTCCTTTTAAACTCTTTTGACCCCTACAATGTAGCTTCTGTTTAAGTAGCTTTTAAAACAATTCATGTGGATAAAGTATGATTACCTTTAAGTCAGAAGAGTGTTCATTTACATAGAATAACACTCAACTCTGTACTCCACAGCCCATTCTTTGTATTAGCTTAGTCAATATTGTATGTTTAAAGAGGGACTGGGCAAACACTGGTGCACAGTGTGCTCATTAGCACTCTTTAGGCTGGAAGCTATCAACCAGTAATGGGCTGCCTGGATGGCTAAATACAGCTGTTTGTTCATTCCATATTTGGGCATTTAGCAGTGGTTAAGCCCCTTTGTTTCAAATCGTAAGTATTTCTCTATAACCTTAATTATCGAACACAGATTAATGTATGGTAGTTTTAACTTCTAATCTTGTATTTTGTCACATCATCTAGACTCTATACTACCAGTGCTGTTCAACTGCTGCTCAATACACTAAACAAGTTCTTTCTTCGTTATTTTAAATTGTGCCGGCACAAATCCAGCTTTTCCTCAATAACAACAACAAAGATAGGAAACACAAGGCCCCGATGATGCTACTGTGTACTGACAGAGGGTCACATTATTGCTGCGATAGCAACAATAATGTGTATAGAAAGCATATAGAAAGATACCAGAGGTGCTTTGTGAGGCTGCAGCCATGTGGGTTGCCGGCGACATTGCAGACATGCAGGACGGGAAACTGGCCAACCAACCTTTATCCTGCAATTACTTTAAATGAAAGGTGACCTGGACAGGCATCATTTCAGCTGGACCTCACATCAAAGCAACAACCTTTTGTGTAATTGGCAATTTGGAAGAAGCTTTATTGCGAGTTATTGAGCTTATGACAATTTGACAACCCTCTGTAAAAGTACACAACCTATCCCTAATGATGTCTCCTGTCTTTTGCTTTACTCTTGTCGTCACCGGGCCAGTTTTTAGCGATGTCATATTTAGTACATCATCTCATTTGAAGTTAGACTGTATGATAACCTGTTACATTATATCATGCAGTGGGTGGCCCATCCTCTAGTGGACTTACGGTCCAACCTTGATGTTGATTCCTTGTGCGTGCAGACGGTCAAAATCTATTGTTGCTATGCCAACACTTGTGGTATCCAAGGCAATAAACTATATACAGTATCTATAGTAGTAAACTATCTGAACTGCTTCAACAAAGACACAATGCAGCACACTGCAGCTTTATGAAGTACAGTATATTTCACAACCCTAACCAGAAAATTGGTTTCACAGCAGTTGCAAAAAGACAGAAATGTGGCTGCCCACGTCTATGAATCACCTTCGCCTCCCTCCTGTCTTCAAACTTCTCCTTTTCTCCTCATCGTTCTGTTTTCCCTCTCATCTTTTTCCCTCTGTTCCACCTCTCCTCACATCTGGATTTCTCTCCCCTCCTGTCTCATATCCTTTCTTCCTCCCTCCCCCATCTCCATCACCTGTCTGCTCCTTCCTCCCGTATCTCTTCCTTCCTCCTGTGTGTTCTCCTCCACCCTTCTTCCACCAACCACCTCTTCTTTCTCCCTGCTGCCAAGTCAAACCAGGCCATCAGGCCTTTGAGGACCTGAAAGTCATTTAACTCCTGGTAGATAATAAGTCTTAGAATATAGCTCCTCTCAGATAATAAGCTTTATCACTTGATTGCTCTGCACACTCCCTACTGTCTTTAGATTCATGTCCAGGGACCTAGTCAGGCGAATCACACTATTTCCTTCCTGGCAAGTCAAATTAACACTGTGTGTGTGTGTGTGTGTGTGAGTGTGTGTGCGTGTATCTATACTCATTACAGGGAATGGCAGATTGCTGAGGGTGCAAAATAAAATCTAACCAGCCCAAAGGTTAGCTACCAGTAGTGAATGTGTCTGGTGGAATTAGTTAAACAGTTAAGATTTAATGGTCCACAACTGTGACATAAACCTCTTTATTTAACCTCATGCTGACTTTAATTTGAATCGGCTTTGATAGTCCTGTAGAAACCTCTTCTCTTTACCTGTCCTCTTTCCTATTCTGCTCTTTTACTTTCACTTTGACCTCCTCTGTCCTCTGCCCCATGTCCTCCCCGAACTCCTGCCGCCAAACCACTCCCTTATTAGTATTTTACTTGATCATTACTCATTGCCAGTTGATAGATATTGCAATTAAATGGCAGGAAAGTTTACAGGAATTAAAATAAGAAAACTTTAAAAGGATGTTTAAAATGATGTTGCTTTACTCAGTAAAATAAATTGTAACACAGTGAGATTTTACAGTTACAGAATTTGGCAACTCTTTGGTCATTTGTGTGATGTCAATGAGATTTAATTTGCTGAGATTGTTTCAGAGACCAACGAAAGCCTGGACGGCCATCATTTTTGGGACCTGACTTGCCCAGACTAGATCCAGATGATGATCTGACGACTGCACACGAGCCCGTAAGGAGTCAAAAGAGCGCTGTAAGTAAAAGCTTGTTTTGGAGGTTTTGCTGATGCAGGTGTACAGAGAATTATTGCGAGAAGGAATTGAGACACAAACAAACACTTACAGTACAAGTGTCCGTATGAGAAAAATGACCAACTTTGTAAATCCTCCTGAGTTAGAGAAAGCGAAACTTAACCAGCTCATTTAGGCTCAGCATGGTTGTTCCCGGTGACACCAAGTTTCCAGGGTCACAGCAGGTGTCAGAGAGCAGATGTTTAACAAGTCTGATGTCATGGCTAACAATGATGACCTCAGACCTGTCTGTGATCAGCTGTGGGAAATGTTTTGCAGGTTGAGAAAGCAGAAATTTAATGAGCACATCAGTCATCCTCTCTCACATTCTTCCCAATCCCTCGCCTCTCATTGTGTCTCCTCTCACTCATGTCACTTCTCCTCCACCCAACCTCTGTACTATTAGGCAGAGCAGTAATAAATCCAGCTTCCTCTGGGTTCCATGATGTCATCTGTCAAAGCAGGCATCGTTATGTGCTTTATGAACTAAGCCGTGCCATGCTGTGCTGGGATCGCACATATCAATTTAGACCCAGTTCAACTGATATTAAATTGTGTTTTTTTTTGTCTGCTACAGCAAACATATCAGCTTTGTAAACCACTTGTCCTGTGTTGTCCTTTGAGAAACAGAGAAACCAAAAGGGAGCCATTTACATTTTATTATAGTTTTTGATTTCATGATCACGCCCTCTAGTTTTGCAGTAATTTGACCGGATACAGGTGGACTGTTGGGTACGTCTTCGTCCACTTTATTTTAATAGAGCCATTGCAGAGCTCCTCCTATAATCCAAAAAGGGATGTTTCACCATGATTGGTATGATCCCATATAGACATGGGCAAATAAACAGTGTGTGAATCTACTGTACATGTTATATCCTTCTTTATCTCCTGTGTGGTCACATCTTCAACTCCCACTCTAGACGTGCTTGATGTTGAGAGTGAAGCAGTGTAGGACAGGGCTGTGAATGTTCTCACCAGTTCTCTCCCAGGCTATTTGTAGAGATGGCAGCTGTCATCAGAAACATCAACGAGCTGAAGATAAATTCTGTTCACAACTCTGGTAGGTGGAGGTGTGGAATTACGGGGAGAGATGTTGAGCAACTACATTAAGATTTCTCAGTCTTTGTATCGCAAGAGGCTCACCTTTTCAATTTAAGAGTTATCATTGTGTAATGAAATGCAAAATGCCTTTGTCTGGTACAACTTTCTCAATATGCATTGTGCAAATATGCATGTACTACAAGAGATGATATTGACCGGTAACAACAAGATGGTAATTGGAGAACAATTCATTCCATTCGTTTGTTTCTACTTTTTCTAATGCACACTTTCAACAACAACATTGAACATTTTCTTCCAGACAGCTAACATACTGTGCTGGTAGATTCTCACCTTCATTTCAGTAACACTTAATTTCAGAAAACAACAATATTCACATTTGCAGTAGAGTATTTGCCAGAGGAAATAGCATAAGTGCTGCAAAGAAACCTAACAGCCATTGAAAGCCTTCCTCTGGATAAGAAACATTAAAAAGATGTCAAAGCTGACATATTTCTCACCTTAAAAATAGTAGCGGCATGCAGCGTTTGTAGCAACAGGCCTTCTAATGTAGAGCTGTTGAACGGGTTTCTAATCTGTTACCAGATGACAGGTGCCGCAACGAGATAGACGACCTGTATGAGAGCATGGGTGAGAACATCTTATTTGCATGTGCGCATGTGTGTGTTCAAATGTGTTGCATGCTGCATAACGGCATCCGTGTGTGTTCATCAGCGTTTGGCTTACGGCGATGTACCTCACCTACAGCCGATGAGTCATTGTTTCAGCAAGAGGACGTAACCGCTTTAAGGCCAGCTGCAGGGCCAGCAAATAGACCGCGTCATTTGTCCTACAAATGATTTTATTTATTAAGCACAATGTGTTATTTTGGTGACAGTCACATAGATAAGACTAAGATAACTAAAAGAAACACGTCACGCACACACAAACACACAACTGTTATTTGTAGCTCCTAATTTGATACTTCTGTGGTGCACTGCAGGCAGCAGATTTGAAGCGTCAGCAGCAGCGCTACCTGCGCTTACAGTGACAGGAGACATTGATATGTTTTATTTATTGTTTAGTGGCCTGTTATGAAGTTTCCTTCATTCCGTTGCAGAAACTTAGAAACAAACAAAAACCCCTATGGTCTTCAAAGTTCCAAATTCAAACGACAGTATGTTGGGAGCAGATGAATTAAAGTTGATTATTGCACCACTTGATGCTACATGCGCACACTAAAGACAGATGGCACATTGAAACAGGTTCTTTTTCTCATTCAGTTTGTAAGGCTGCTGCTGTTCAACTAAAATAATGATGG